ATATATATATATATATATATATATATATATATATATATATATATATATATATATCATTCAGGAAATAACTTGCTCCCCACCTCCTATGTCTATCCTCCTACACTTTTCCTCTTCAGATTACAGGTCTGTTTCTGCCACCCATATCCAAAGCATTTATTTTTACATCAAATCCATGACATCTAATTCTCTTGACAGGCACCTGTTCCAGAAACCTTATTATTGTCAGCTCCATCCTGGAAGTGTTAAAATTCCTCAGCATTACTATATTTCTAAACAGGTGATGCAAAGAAGGCAAAACCCTCCAAAATGATGTTCAGAGCCCAGGGCAGAATTGTCTTATATTCAGCTCCTGTATGCTGCTGCCTTTTTAGCCACGGCACATGAAATTGTTCCATTATCACAACTATTATCACATCTAAAACCCAACAATGGCATCTGAAAGTCAAAATCAAGTTACAGCTGAAGACAAATGTGCTATTTTCTTTTTAAATTATTTGCAGATTGCTGATTAAACCCATTGCAAACAGGATTTCATTTTTGTTTTTGATGGAGAAAATGGTTTTAGTATATTTATATGGCTGGTGGCCAAGAATACACTATGAATCAAGTAAAGCTAACGACTTTCTGCCACAGCATATGGATGCTGGGAATAATCGAGTCATAAATGGAAGCAGATGAAACCAATTGTCAAGGGATAAAATATACAGGCAGAGGCTCTGTTGCGACCATCTTTCGGTTGATCTCTATATTTCTGTTGCTATCCTCCATGTTCTTCTGGAGGATGGCGGGAGGGAGACTAAAATTACATTCCTGCCTCACACATGAGATGGTTTGTTGAGAACATGGGCTCTGCCTTGCTGTTTTTCTTTAAAATATTTAAAATTGTCATGCAAAAACTGTTACTGTGATACGTATATTTAAAGATGACCCAGAGCACATTTCAACATACCGCATTTTTCAGAGTATAAGACACACTTTCCCCCCTAAAAAGAGTGGAAGTTTGGGTATGACTTATACACCAAATGTAGCTCCACCCATCCACCCATCATCCCGCACCTCCGTGTGTCACGTTTTAGACCTGTTCCCGGCTGCAGGGCTTGCCACAGACCATCCGTGGCTTGCATTTTCAGCCTCTGACTGCTCCATTTGAGATCCGTTCAAAGCTGCGGGGATTGCCAGAGTACATCACTGCCGATCGCGCTCACAACTAGCGAACCAAGTTCATCTCTGGGAACAGCTGATTGTTGGTATTCTGGGAGGCTGATCCACCCACAGATCAGCTGCTCGTGCTCAATCAGGCTAATGTGCTGAAGCTGACCAGGCTGTTTGCTAAGGACATTAGCCAGATGAATGGATGCTGGTAGGCAGAGGCAGAATTGTTTTTCTTATTTTCCTCCCCCAAAACTAAGGTGCGTCTTATACTCCGGAGCATCTTATACCGTGAAAAATACAGCACATTTTGCTAAGGATGGCTTAGAATTTGGTTTAGGTTCTATGAAGAGAGGGGAGGGGGCAGTTAACCAATTCAATTTTTGTCATAACAGAAGAGAAAACTGTGATCTGGGAAGAGGGTGTGTGGAAGGGGAGACTTGTCATGGACTCCTCTTTTGACATGATTACTTGCTTTATCCTTTCCAGGTAGGACTAATCTGCATTATCATACACAAAAACTATGGAGAAAAAGACCATACCAAGTCAGTCTACCAACTTTTAAATGTTTATGAGAATATGGCTGCTAGAAAGACATTTTCTCTCCCTTAAATGCTATGCGTCTTGGTACCTTGTTGGTTTACAAGAAAACGTTGGTCAGTAAGATAAGCAAAAGAACAGCACAGCAATTTCTTGCTTTCCAAATTACTGGTTTCTAAATTTCTATGCATATGGGAACAGATTGCCTTGGCTTTATGATTATTTTTCTAGCAACTAGGTTTTTGTCCGTGTAAAAATGTTGGCCTTCCCAATCTGAGTCTGAGAAGATGTGCTGTTGTTGAGAATTTTGAAAATATTCATGAACAATTTGGGGTTAGCGTTTTACAAAAAAACTTTTTTTTTAGCAACAAGAGAACCCTGGACCACTTCCAGGTTCTCACATTCTAACTATTAATATGAATTATTTTTTTCTGAGGCTGACATGCAGATCAAATGGTTCTCCTTTCCCCTTCATATTATCTACACCCACTAAGTAATGAAATAAACACTCCAATTTATTAATTTGCTCTAAGGGGGAACTATCGAATTGGAATGCACCAAGCATGGTAAATTCGAAGTATTTTGAGCTCACAAAATTCTGTTTTGCACTTGAAACAGTTGTTTCAAGATGAACCTGGATTGTTCCAATCCTTATGAAAGCGAAAGTAATAAATGACTGCCATATTTGTTTCAAAATGTAAGCAGTTCCAGAATGCTCAGCTTAACTCATTTTAAATATGAAACAATTCTTCTGAAGTGGAGTGGTTTTTTTTGTTTTTTTTATTTTCAAAAGTTTTATTTTCTTTTAAAACAAACATTTCATCATTCCTCAATCAGTGAGACATCGGAGTACAATATTTTTGTGTGTCAAAATAGTTCNAGTAATTTGTGTGTGTTGTGTGTGCGTGTGTGCGTGTGTTTGTTTCTTCACTTCACTCAAACAAACTCTCTCTCAATTTGAGAGAGAGAGTTTGTTTGAGAAGAGAGGGAAAGGGGAGAGGCAGGGAGGGCAGCCTTGTTTGAGAGGAGAGGAGCAGCCCGCCAGCAGAAGTGGGTCTTTTACCCGCCTCTGCTGGCAGGCTGGCGCTTTCTTTCTTTTGCCTGCTGTGCCCCCCTTCCCTTTCTCCTCTCTCCCCCACGAGGAGCACCATCCTGCTCCCGTCTCCCTTTCCTCCTTTTCCTCTCCCCTTTCTTCGCCAGCTGCCGCCTCGCCCCCCGCCTCCTCCATCCCCGCCACTGTGTCCGACAGGCATCTGGCATCTGTGGCGGACATAAACGTGAGACGCCTGTTGGGGACAGCGGCAGGAACATTGCTTCTCGCCGCTGCCACACTCCGCCGTCTCACCCCTGCCTCCTCCATCCTCGCTGCGCCGGTGTGTCCGACAGGTGTCTCGCATCTATGGCGGACATAAACGTGAGACGCCTGTTGGGGACAGTGGCGGGGACGTTGCTTCTCGCCGCTGCCGCACTCTGCCACCTCGCCCTCCTCTGCCGCACTCTGCCACCTCCTCCGTCCCCACTGCTGTGTCCGACAGGCGTCTCGCATCTATGGTGGACATAAACATGAGACGCCTGTCGGGGACAGCGGTGGGGACATTGCTTCTCACCGCCGCCACGCTCTTGCCTCACCAACTGTAATCCTCACCGCACGTCACTGCTTCGGAGGCTTTCCTCGAGTCTCTAGGAGGGCAAAACCTGCCTCCTCTGGGCTCCAGAAACTGGAAATGGACCCATTTCTGGCCTTCCAGAACTTCTGGGAGGCCCATTTTTCCACCTCTCCAAGCCTCCATGTGGGCCCTGAACCTACCTTGCATCCAAAACGAACCGCATGGAGAGTCTTGGGAGGGGAGGGGAGGGGGGGCAGCCAGGGGTGGGATTTGGAGATTCTCCAAATTGGTCAAAATGTTAGCTACGGGTTCTCCTGAAGCAGCCCACCCCTGATACTACGTCATTCAGGATTTTTTGGGATGCATACCACTGGAGATTATTATCATTTAGAAATTCTTTTACAAACATGTATATGAGTTGAGAACATCCCTTTGGGACAATTATGTGATTAACTCAAGTGAGAAAACTTGAAAGTTCAACACCTTTACCAAACATTCTAAGACTGACACTTTTTCTTTTCTTTGCTGAAAGCATCCAGATTGTCCACATCTCGGAAACAGTAAATAATTGACTAGAATGAGTCCTCTATCTGATGTTACCCTTACAGGGTGATGGATGCTGCTTTTACAAGGCTAGTGTTCTCTGGACAGATCAAACAGAGCTCTAGGCTGTTAATCAATAGCTTCAGTCCCTTGTTTACCCATTGGCAAAGGGAAGTTGACAGACCATCTGTACAAGCCCTCCTCTGTAAACCATGCTTCTCAGCAAGTGGAATTTCCCTGGGGGCCCGAGAGTATAGATGCTAAGTTTTATTACCCCTAGGAGTTTTTGCCTCCAAGGGAGGAAAAAACAGTGGGCTGGAAAGCATGTTAAGTTATGGGCTTTCTTTACTTATTTATTTTATTTATTTATAACATTTATAGACTGTTCATCTTACCTCAGTTTGGACAGTTTACAATCAAAACAATAAAATTATATAAATTAAAAACATTAATAAGGTAAAGATAAAGATTCCCCTCGCACATATGTGCCAGTCGTTCCCGACTCTAGAGGCTGGTGCTAACTTCATTTCAGAGACGAAGAGCCAGCGCTGTCCAAAGACATCTCCATGGTCATGTGACAGGCATGACTAAATGTTGAAGATGCATGGAACACTGTTACCTTCCCACCAAAGGTGGCTTCTATTTTTCTACTTGGATTTTTTTACATGCTTTCAAACTGCTGGCAGAAGCTGGGACAACTAATGGGAGCTCGCTCCGCTATGCAGTGCAAGGGATTCGAACTGCCAAACTGCCGACCTTTCTGATCGACAAGCTCAGCTTTTTAGCCACTGAGCCACCACATCCCATTAAAACATGAATAAGTTAATACAAAATCCAAAACATTAAAAGATGGGAAGGGAGGGAATAGGATGAAGGGGATGTGGGATCCGTTGTTAATCGATCAACCACTCAATCAACCATCGATCAATCAATTGATATTCCCCATTGGAACCACATTGTTTTCATTAGTAATTAATAAAGAAGTAGTACTGTATTCCTCTACCGTAGCATTTAAATCTGAACAGTGAAGCACAAGCGGTCCTTCCTTATGTGATAGCTTTTCACAAGAGTAATAAATGAATGAACTTTCATATGTTATGGTTGAACTGAGAAGACTCTTCCATTCCAGAGGACTGGAACTAGTTTTCTATTATCATTCCTGAAAATTGAGGTGTAAGACGGGGGCTTGAGGGGGGATCCAGATTCAGATCCACAAGATCAGCCATGGAAACATATTTGATGATTTGGGGGGCAGTTCACTCTCTTCACCCTAACCTACCTCACAGGTTACAACTATGGGGGTAAAAAAGAAGGGTCATTTCTACATTGCTGTCTTGAACTCCTATATTGAAAGCAGAACACTAAGGTAACCTCAAAGCAAATATGTGAATAGAAGAATGCAAATTAAGGGAAGTTGAATCCTTCAAACTGCTTAGATTCTGAATGAAAGGTGGTGTTTTTAATGCATATTTATTCTGTTTTCAAAGGATATAACTTCAGAGATGTCCAAGCTTGTACACAAAATGGTGTTAAAGTTGGCGTAACTATTAAAGAAGTTAGTGTATCAGTAGGAATAACTGCTGGAGGGTGTAATGCCATTTTAAAAGAAATTGGAGGTGAGGCTGTAACCATCAAGTAAATATGCGATGTCTGTCTGTCTGTCCTGTCTGTCTCACTCACTCTCTCTCTCATCTCTCTCTCTCTCATCTATCTATCTATCTATCTATCTNGGAGTAGAGGCTAACTTCTCATCGGTGACTCCTACCAGTCTTTTCCCTCTGCTCTCTTGCAGATCAACGGGACTGTCACGGAAAATATGTCCTTGACAGACGCCAAAACCCTGATAGAGAGGTCAAAGGGCAAGTTGAAAATGGTGGTCCAGAGGGATGAAAGAGCCACTTTGTTGAACGTCCCAGATCTTTCCGACAGCATCCACTCAGCCAATGCTTCAGAAAGAGACGGTGAGTATCGCTTGCCTTTTCTCGGTTGCCTTCCCCGCTGACCAACAGTTGCGAATGTGTCAGGCGGAGCCGCAAGGCTTCCGGGATCTTCCGCAGGGGAAGGAAGGGCTGAAGAAATGCCCAAAGAGTCCACCTTCCACTGACCAAACGGGGCAAGATCCAGTGGAGATCCAGTTCGGAAAGCCGGACGGCTCCCTCCCAAGTCCTGCCCAAGCCTTTGCGTTCATTCCTCAGCGAAGGTCATGCCATCTTTTTACTTCTGAATCATCTCATGAAAAACCCCACTTTTATTTAACAGACATTTCAGAAATTCAGTCGCTGGCATCTGATCATTCCAACCGATCCCATGACAGGCCCCGCCGCAGTCGTTCACGATCTCCTGACCAGAGGTCAGAACATTCTCCACAGCAGCCCAACAATGGCAGGTGATGGTTGCCTTGTGCTCTTTCGAAGTAGACCTTTCTTTTTGGTGAAAAGAGTGGCGGGAGGACGGCTGCTTTGTAGGGGGCGGGGGGACGCAGGAGCCCACGGGTGGGGAGGCACCCCTGGACATCGGTGAGGTGATGGACCCTTTCAAAGGCCTTCTCTTTGGAGTTCTGATTTGGTCTTCTGGAGGGTTCACTCTTGAGGTGCCCCCTAAGGGAAGGATGGGGAATTAGATGCGTAAGACAAATGTACGTGTTCTGAGTACGTGTTACCGGATTCAATCTGGGTAGGTCACCGAGACCAGAGATTTTCAGAGTCTTCTAAGCTTCTGGATTCATGCTGGAGACCATCCTCACGGAACTTCTCTCTGTCTTCTCCCTCCGGAATATATTCTGGAGATAATCAGATATTCTGTTAGGGAGAAATTTCCTGAGGATGGGTTCCAGCAACGAGAATCCAAAAGCTTAGAAGATTCTGAAAATCTCTGGTCTTGGTGATTGGAGGCTGTCCTGATTTCGCTAAGAGTTTTGACTAGATTCAACCAAGGGGTTCTTGGAGAATTAGCATCTGGGAACATTCTCTCCCCTCCACTCTACAATTAAAAACAATTTGAGAAAGGCCCAGCCCCAAAATAAAGAAGGATTGGATGCATCAGTGATGTGGAAGTGCTACCAAGAAGTCCCAATGGCAGTGTTTCTCAACCTTGGTGGCTTGATTGTTGTGGAAAATGACAGGCTTTAGACTTCTCAGGATACAAGAAAAGCTTATTTGGCAGCCAGGTTCAGAAAGCGAGCCCATGGCTTAGCATTGCAAGTTCTGAACA